CAGCCAGTGAAAACAGAACCCTTGATGCTTGTGCCAGGTTAGTGACTGAAGCCAGAAGATCAATATGACAGCCAGACAGCTAGCATTTTTTTAGGTAGGAGGGCGGGGGGTCAGGAACACCAGCTTACATCATTCCTCATGGCAGGGATCCCAACCTGAAAGAAGCCATTTCAGGGAGGTGTCCTTCTCATTTCAGGGAGGTGCCCTCTACCCCCCCCCCCATCCGCGGAGGGGGGTTAGGGGGGCTGGGAGAGAGCACCCCCCTGAAATGATGGCAGATAGCACAGGAAGCAATAGCTTCTTTGCTATCTGCAGGTTTTTTTTCTGATTTTGTTTTTAGTATTCTGCCAGTTGCAGTCGTCAGAATATTTAAAAAAAGGCATAAGAATGCATAGCTAGATTCCTATTGGCTATTGCACTTTGCAATAGCCAATAGCAAACTAGCTATTGCACCCGCCCTCTGCTTCTGCTGCTTTCAATCACCAGAAGAGGACCTGATAGAAAAATTCAGGTCCCCCTCTGCTGATTGACAGCAGCAGAGGGCGGGTGCATTACCTAGTTTGCTATTGGCTATTGCAAAGTGCAATAGCCAATAGGAATCTAGCTATGGATTCGTATGCCTTTTTGTTTCTTTTCTGACTGACGGTCGGGCCGCGGCTCGCCATGTCAGAAAAGAAAGAAAAAAAACGATCGCAGTGAAAGGTTTATCTGCTCGATCGAGCAGATAAACCTTTCCGGGAGGAAGTGTTTCTCTCCCGGGCGGCCGGGAGCCGCTATCCAATAGCGGGAGACTCCCGGAGCGTCCAGGAGAGTTGGGATGTCTGTCATGGCAGAATTCATAGTCTCTTCTCGGTAAGTCGGCTACATGGATCATCAATAAAAAGTCGAAGCTTTAGTGGGAATAAGCGCTTTTAATAATACACAAATCTAAAAAAATATTCTCTTAGGAGCCCGATAAACCAGAACTAAGGCTATGACCCCCCTACGCTCGCCCGTACTCTTGTAAAGAGTATGGATCGAATATAGGGAATGCGTAAGAACTCTGTACAACATTTACAGCAATGTAGATATTTCCTGTCTGCCGTGTACCGTGCTTCGCCGAGGAATCGGGCCGCCGGCCTCAGCAAAATGTCAGCGGCGATTATCGGCCATCACAGTCTATCCCAGAACCAAACTTGAAGGCCAATCTGAGGTGCCCGTCGCTGTCCCCAGGGTTATCTGGGACCAGTAGTTTGTGTCCTGGGCTGCCAAAATAATGAGGACCAGCAAGTACTTGCCCACCCAATGTGGCGCGTCTCAATTTCCCGTCCGCTATGTGCTGCCTTTCACAGAACAGTGGCAGAATCTCAGTGATGAATGGCCATGATCATTTCCCAGATCTAGTCATATGGGCCATTGTCAGTGCCCATCGCCGTTCCCCAGATTGGGTTCGCATGCTGCTAATGGTTCGTTCACACCATAGGCGGTGCGTTCCGGTCCGATTCTGGCCGGAACGCACTGCCTCGCATTGCGGCCGGCCTGGTTTTTTTGCCGGGCTGGAGGGGGGCGTGGCGGGCCATTGAAGTGAATGGCACCGTAGCCACGCCTTGCCACCGTAGCCACGCCTTGCAGCCGCAGGGCGATCGCCCGCACGGGATCGCAGGGCACATTGTGCCTGCAGTGCGCTTAAAATAGTGCTTGCAGCATTTTGATCGCACCGCAGCCGAACGCACTGCAGGCACAATGGGCCCTGCGGTCCCATTGCGGCCGGAGGGCGTGGCTACGGTACCATACACTTCAATGGCCCGCCACGCCCCCTCCTGCCCGTCACAAAAACCAAGCCGGCCGCAATGCGAGGCAGTGCGTTCCGGCCAGAATCGGACCGGAACGCACTGCCTATGGTGTGAACGAGTGAACAATGTCGGCCAGCAAGTAGCTGCCGAGCGACCCGGCATGGCGTGCCTCAGGTTCTCTTCTGATTGGCAGAAGCACGATGATGGGTTTTCTCTGGAGGAAGTTTCCTAGAGATTGTGTGTAACGTCTGAATAGTAAATCATGAAACTTCAAAGTCCTAACACGAGTAGGATACCAGATGGCGCTCACCAAACATTTTTGGGAAGGTTAAAAAAAAAATTCTGTAGGAAAATAAAGTCCACCGAAATGTGAAATGTCTGCAATTGAAGTGACTCAGAGGACGCGGCCGGCCTGTCGAGTGTCTCTAAAGTTTATCTTCTGCACCAGGCCGTCCGGCCAACTCAACCTCTTTAGCAACTGGAATTCTTATCTTCTTATCTTCCGAACACCTTAGATGATGAGCCTGAGAAATTCCTGCTGTGTAGTCCGAGGTTCTCAGCTCCACCCCCTCTATCGCTCAGAGGCTGAATAGTACTAGTCATGAGACAAGAGGCTGCAGGCCCATTTGGGAGCACAGAGAAAAGCCGGCCCAGTTTAGCTGCAATGGATTCCCTAAACTCAGCTGAAGAATTGGTCCACCTAAAGAAAGATATTTTACTATGTCAGCGAGGCCGTCGTGTCTGAGATCATAAAATATTTGGTGACCAGATCTACCAGCCTTTGTCTCCATCCCACCCCGGGTGTTCCCCATCCGTCGCTTACATTTTCCATAATCTAAAAGAATAATTGATCCAGAAGGGATGGTGGGAGCCCCCTCATAATGGGCACAGTAGGGGTACAGACCCGGGAACTCAGCACAGGGATGGTGGGAGTCCCTCATAATGGGCACAGTAGGGGTACAGACCCAGGGAACTCAGCACAGAGATGTTGGGAACCCCTCATAATGGGCACAGCGGGTGTACAGACCCGGGAACTCAGCACAGGGATGGTGGGAGCCCCTCATAATGGGCACAGCGGGTGTACAGACCCGGGAACTCAGCACAGGGATGGTGGGAGCCCCTCATAATGGGCACAGCGGGTGTACAGACCCGGGAACTCAGCACAGGGATGGTGGGAGCCCCTCATAATGGGCACAGCGGGTGTACAGACCCGGGAACTCAGCACAGGGATGGTGGGAGCCCCTCATAATGGGCACAGCGGGTGTACAGACCCGGGAACTCAGCACAGGGATGGTGGGAGCCCCTCATAATGGGCACAGCGGGTGTACAGACCCGGGAACTCAGCACAGGGATGGTGGGAGCCCCTCATAATGGGCACAGCGGGTGTACAGACCCGGGAACTCAGCACAGGGATGGTGGGAGCCCCTCATAATGGGCACAGCGGGTGTACAGACCCGGGAACTCAGCACAGGGATGGTGGGAGCCCCTCATAATGGGCACAGCGGGTGTACAGACCCGGGAACTCAGCACAGGGATGGTGGGAGCCCCTCATAATGGGCACAGCGGGTGTACAGACCCGGGAACTCAGCACAGGGATGGTGGGAGCCCCTCATAATGGGCACAGCGGGTGTACAGACCCGGGAACTCAGCACAGGGATGGTGGGAGCCCCTCATAATGGGCACAGCGGGTGTACAGACCCGGGAACTCAGCACAGGGATGGTGGGAGCCCCTCATAATGGGCACAGCGGGTGTACAGACCCGGGAACTCAGCACAGGGATGGTGGGAGCCCCTCATAATGGGCACAGCGGGTGTACAGACCCGGGAACTCAGCACAGGGATGGTGGGAGCCCCTCATAATGGGCACAGCGGGTGTACAGACCCGGGAACTCAGCACAGGGATGGTGGGAGCCCCTCATAATGGGCACAGCGGGTGTACAGACCCGGGAACTCAGCACAGGGATGGTGGGAGCCCCTCATAATGGGCACAGCGGGTGTACAGACCCGGGAACTCAGCACAGGGATGGTGGGAGCCCCTCATAATGGGCACAGCGGGTGTACAGACCCGGGAACTCAGCACAGGGATGGTGGGAGCCCCTCATAATGGGCACAGCGGGTGTACAGACCCGGGAACTCAGCACAGGGATGGTGGGAGCCCCTCATAATGGGCACAGCGGGTGTACAGACCCGGGAACTCAGCACAGGGATGGTGGGAGCCCCTCATAATGGGCACAGCGGGTGTACAGACCCGGGAACTCAGCACAGGGATGGTGGGAGCCCCTCATAATGGGCACAGCGGGTGTACAGACCCGGGAACTCAGCACAGGGATGGTGGGAGCCCCTCATAATGGGCACAGCGGGTGTACAGACCCGGGAACTCAGCACAGGGATGGTTGGGGCCCCTCATAATGGGCACAGCGGGTGTAAAGAGCCAGAAACTTGCTGGAATTCTGAAGATTCATCCATCCTCAAGAGATAGAAGAGACGTCAGTTGGGTCCAGTGTCCACCAAAAACTTAAATATAATTTCTGGGTGCCGCCAGGTAAACTAATTGGTTGCCACATTCGGACCCTTACATCAGGCTGGTAGAAGTGTGGCTGCTTTGTTGCGTATTGTATTTATACAAAAAGTTCCCTTTTCCTGACCTGTAGGACCATCTATGGGCACCGACACTCAGTCCTGGTGGCTTGTGACCAGCGTTTGTCCCATAATGTAGTGGAGCGGTCCATAACATCTCAATAAACAATATGATCCCATTTGTCAGTCTCTCTGCTGTCCGAGACCAGATTAGCCCAATAACTGTGAAACTAGGGCTGGGCCGAGGGTGGATAATAGAGGCAGCTGCCTTGGGAGCTTCAGAAGAAGGGGACAGAAAAAAAAGGCGGGAACCAGCGACCTATTCCGCTGAAGCAGTTCACAGCTCATAGTGGGGGAGCACTTTGGCCTTTTCGCCTTGTCCCGGCACCGACTGAAACACGACCTTCCTTTGTTGGATGTGGGATAAGTGCATCATGACTCCGCCCAGATGACGCCTCTGTGGTCACGTGAACATGTTCTGTCCTAGTCCAATACATTTCTACTACCATGGCACAGCGACGTTTCGAGAAGGCTGAGCATCTTTGAACGTAATTTGTGTGATCAGGCTGCGAGTGGAAAAACGTTTTGTTTTTTTGCCCGCAGGTTGTCAAAGCCATGA